TTTTACACATTTAGTTATATACACATTTAGTTATATACAAACACCTTATCAAAATAATAAAACCAGGTACTTTCACCATGCCCCAGTCATGTTTTTAGAAAGTTCTTTAATTGTACAAATTGATAGAGATCAGGATATCTCTTAAACTTTTACTATTTTTATCGCTTTTTCTTTTCTGTGACAAAGATTCTTCCTATGGTACATACTTTGTTAATATGATTTACTGTTCCATTTTTAGACACAGTAGCTTTACTGACTTCTCTATGCTAATAATACCTATATGCCTTCTTATTTTCTCATTCACTTCATGAACAAATCTATAAATCCACTGTCTTTACCACATTATATTATGTCCAACTTCTATGATGGTATCTTCAAAACCTCAGTATTTATAAAAGCACAAGTTAAAGAGCCAGGTGGATATGAATATGTGGAAGTTCTTGGGTTGGAAGCTCAGGATAAGATATTCACGAGGGTTACTATTACCATAAGGAATATTGTGTAAGTTAGCAAAGTACTCTACAGCCTTGAAAAACAGGTATAGGACTACTTTCTGAGTTGGCAGCATAAATCAATTTAGAACAAAATAGAAGGACAGTGGGATTCTACCTTACCAGCTCTCACAACTGCATGCGTATTGAAGCATTTTTTCTATTATCCTATGGGTCCACACAAACACATATATGTTAAGAAATTGATACCTTCTTTACAGGAAATTTAATATTGCTGCAGTGATGAAAAGTATCTTTTAGAATAACTAATGTAACCTTAGCCTTTTTCTAAGCATGGCATTTCCTACCGGGAAGTAAACAAAATATTATTACGAAGGGAGTAGGAATTATCTTGAAAATAGCAGACAGGACTAAGTTTTTCATAGAAAAAGCATAGGTATTATGCATGTTTTTCTAGATAGTTAATGAACATTGTAAGCATAATTGGAAACAACTAGAAATTAAATGCAGGATCTGAACACATTTTTTATTTTAAAAACACAAGAGAACTTTAAAGTTACATACTTATGCATATCAGGCTTGAATTTATTAATCTGAAACAAACTACTTGCTTAGCTACAGAAGGGTACAAAGAAAACACTATTTGTCTGAACCAGTGATCCTTTCACTTATTGTAGTCTCCACGTGATGTACATGTCCCATTTAAATGGAGTGATCTTTACAGTATTATAAAATATTCATTAAAAATTTTCAGGCAACTTGAAAATCCAATGTTTTGTAATATCTGCTATGGATTAAAAGTTTCTGTTTTGGTTTTTACCATTTTTTAACTGATTCTGCTTTTATATGTATATGTATTTATTAAAATATTGGTCTTATCCATTTATTCTGTTTTAATATCCTGCTTTAAAGCCATATTTTGATACAGTGCTTTATGTGTGGCATAAATTATTTAAAACTCCCTCATTTATATATATATCTGTAAAAGTTTGGAATAGTATTATTTGGATTTCCAAAGGAAAATGGTCACAACAATATCTGATGATAGCTTGGATTTGTTAAATATGAGTGTTAATTTATATGGAAAAAGGATAATGGATGAGGAAGAAAGGAGGGACCAAGGAGAATATTTTAATAAAGCAGCATGAAATACCCGTACCGTTTTTGTATTAGTTTTCCAAATGAATTTGCTCTGGAAAATTACTTTGGAGCTGATGTTAGTATTAGTGATAAGCCAGCATACACCAGCTGAGGCAGCTGGCCTGCTGGGGAGCCCAGACAGAGTTAGTCATAAGCACATCTAATTCCCAAAGATCCATCTGAGTTGTGTGGTTTCATGCCAGCGGTGATTGAGCCTTCTTTTGCTTTGGGAAGCATCCCACCAACTTCTGACCATCATTCAGAACTAATGTCTGCATGTCCAGCAGCCAAGACTGCGGAATATCTGGTAAATCTGGGCACAACCGTTGTTGTACATCAAACCTGATGTCTTGAGACTTCCTTGCCCTCCATCCTCATTGAGTAAGGGGTTTGATGTTCAATGCCAAAGACTAGTTTTTCCTTTAGAGGAAAAAATAGCCTGTTATGCTTGCTCTGAAAATGCTTACTGTGCTACTATTCAATAGGGTTAGACATAAAATACAAATCCTTATCTTAAAGAACACATGGAGGAAGGTGGGTTGGAATTCCCACCCGTTTCCTCGTTTTATGTTGTTAATTCATTGATCAAAAATTCAAAAAATTCATTGATCAGTTCCTTCTGTCTGAGAAAACAAAACCATGTAACCTGTTTCAGGGAGAGGGTGCTAATCCCCATGCAAGAGGTGACAAGCACTAAAGAGGCCAGAGGGGTTCCTCACCTTGGTGATTAGGAGGAGCCCTTGACAAAGGGCTGTCATGGAAGCAGTTGTGGGACAAAATACATGTAAAACAAAGCTTTTATTCACATTTCCTTAGCCAGCTGACTGTAAGATGTTTTCATTCCATTAAGTAGAGTGCTTCTCGGGAGACTTTACGCAAATTTTGGACCTCTGCAGATTCATTTAATATATATCCGTAGCTCATGTAGAGCTCGGGACTGAGACTAGGATCAGGCATATAAAAGTCACTATTGCTACACTTGACATTGCAATAGATAGGTTCCTCTCCTGGTCTTCCTCTAAAACATTGTGTGCAGCCTAGGTTTCTGTGAAAGTTCTGATCATGTGTATTCACACTCAGGAAGGGGTGTGAGAAATATAAATTTTGCAGGTCTCAGTGGCTGACATTTTTCACATTGCAGTAGAAAGTTAGGATGAAGCTTCCAAATTATTTCACTTCTCTTAGATCCTGTGGATTTGATGAGGACATGAATGATGTATTGATTTGGGGCTGTCTCAGGAGAGAGGGAAAATGTTTACCACGAGTTCTGGATGTCCTCTGAGCATTTCTATTTCAGCTGTAAGAACAGATTTTGTGACGCAGGCATATCTCCAAAAGGAAACAGAATGAGATCAGATACAGAGTAGTTTGCTTAAAAAACAAAAACAAACACAAACAAAACAAAACAAAAACCAAACACAACAACAACAAACACCCCCCCCAAAAAAAAAAAAAAACCCCAAAAAAAAAACCAAAAACCCAACAAACAAACAACACAAAACCCCAACATCTTGGCAAGAAAAAGCAGCAGGTAGTGAATCAAATTGAATTCATTTGTGGTACAGGCCCTCAGGAAGCTCAGAATATGTAGGCATAGACCATATGAACAACATCTCTGGTAGCTGCCTCTTCTCAGAGAAAACTAGGTAGATTACATTAAGCATCCATTTATTCTTCATCGACCATGAACAGTTATCAGATGGAGGTGCCTAAAAATCTACTGTGATTAAAAAAACAGGTGTCCTGGAAATGAAAGTGTCCAAACATAAATGGCACTTAAAAGTAATACATCTGACAACAGATAATGTAGAAGATATGAGTGTCACTGAATGTAGATTTATTTCCCTATAATATGTATAGACTGAATGAGCTTTTTTTATGGTTACACTCTTTGAGTTACTATGAATTTATAATGGTGCTTCTTAACATTTATATTTGTCTACACTAAAGATGTAATAATTTATTAACATGGTAATAAATGTTTAATAATCCTTGTCTTTATCATTTTGTAAAAGTATCTCCTTAACCCCCTGATTCTTCAAAATATAAGGAGGACAAACACTAAACTAAAACAATTGTTTAAAAAATGAGTGTATTTATATGCAGAAATTTTTTTATGTCACATTTCTTGTTCATAACCTCTGTTGCTGAACATAACCGAGATGTTCAAGACATAAGGAAGAATATGGTATTTGATTTAATGTATTGTAACCAATATTTATCATTCAGGTGGGGTACCTTTTTAAAAAAAAATGTCCACATAACATCTATGGAGGAATTCTAATTCAGGCATTAAAAAACCATGAAAAAATAAAACAGTGACATTGGCTTAAAAATCAAGATATATATATATATATCTATAGATATAGATATATATATATCTATGAAAAAAAAAAAAAAAGTTTAAGGTCCTTTTTTTTTTCTTTTTCCTTTTTTTTTTTTTTTTTTTTTTTTAATTTTCCCTTCTCTTCAATTGAAATTCACATATTTCACTTTTGAAGGTCTTTTCTTCATAACTCTCAGTGATAGGTAGATACCTTTACTTTTCAAACAAGCTAAGATTCAAAGTCCTAAGGAAAAACAACAAAGAAAAAGAAAACATAACTTCCATGTGTTCTGGCAACTGATGGCATTACTATGACCACAGAATACTCAGGCCCACTTCCATGGTCGTTGGAAAAGTCCATGAAATATTCAAAATCCATATACTTTAGATGTCATGTTGGAAACTGATGGGTGGACAGGGCATGAATACTTTCGGCTTTCTAAATAAATTGGAATTTCACATCCATGGTACCACATGCTTAAATGATGAAAAGTATTTTTCCTGAAGAGTAACTTTCCTAAAATTTCTGCAGGCAGGTAATATTCAATGGTAAAACAGCCTGTTTCAAAATAACTAACTTATAATGGTTAACAGAAACATTTGTCTGCTGTACCAGTTTTAATGAGTTAGGTACTCCTAAAATACACCAAAAATCAAATCAGGTACTGCAGTTAGTGGTATTTGGTAACACTACGGAAACTTTTATGAATCAGTCTTACAAATAATGTTTTCTTCATGGCGATTTTCAACTGTATAGAATATCAGGCCAACAGTATTTACCAAGTTTTAAAAAGATGTAACAATTTAATACAGCGACTGATAAAATACTGTTAAAAAAAAAAAACAAAAACAAAACAAAAAAACAAATAAAGAAGCTTAAAATAATACTTTTTCCTTTTATCAGTTTTTAGTTGCCACTGTAATGTTAATGTATTCTTGTAGCTGTGGACATAGGACAGACTTTTGACTCACTTTCTAAGCTGAAACTTGGATGTGTGAATTCTCTGTTTATTCTTTTCACTGTTTTCATTTAAAGACAGTAATATAATTATTTTAATTCCCCATGTCTTTCTCCTCTCCAGCAATGACAATGCAGTTCATAAGCCATCGGTTCCCTGACTATCATGATCCAACTATAGGTGAGTAGAGATTATTCTCTTCTTCATACCTTTTAAACTCTCTGCCTATTTGACATTATCATGCAGCAAGAAACTGTTCCTAAATAGCACTTAGATAAAAGCCAGATTTATAAAATTTATGTTAATTTTGTGATGACAATTAAATTGTGTCATGGTCATACCATAGTTATCTCTTCTTGGAATGCTTTGTACAAAATCTCTTTCAACAACAGATTTGTGGCTTCATGCTCTATAACTACTAATGTCTATGCGATCACAGAATACCAACCAAAAAGTGCTACAAGATAGAGAGCAGTCTTTCAAAATTCTAAAATAATGTAAGAGCTCCAGTCTGAAGTGTGATTTCTAAATTTTTGTTATTTTAGTACTGTTTTCCACTATTAAAATCTTAGTGGGCCTTCTCTAGAAAAATCAACTAGTTACTGAATTTAATATATGGGAGTTGTGCTCTGGGATGATGTACTCTGCTAACTCCATTGGTTCACCTGCATTATAAACTTAAGTAATGATAAATACTCACATGTATCTGCAATACATTGAAATCCAATTTAGATGCTGACCATTACATGACTATATGGTTGGATTACAAAGGGACGGTCTGAGCTGGAAGAGAGATCTGGGATGAATTCTGGTTGACCTAATTTCTATTTCTAAAACAGGTAACCCAAAAAGACTGTGGCCAAAAATTGTGTCCCATTAAAATATTTCAAATATTTTTCCCCTGACGTGCACAAATTTGTAAGATATTTAATGGGTATATACCCAAGCAATTTAATGCTTTGAACGGCCCTGGATTCCTGTTGTATTGGGTATCATCTATGCACATCCTGCCAGACACCTGGTGAACACCATGGTGAGCATGGAGATACTCAGAACCTGTGTATAGACACAGTCTTGGGCAGTCTGCTCTAGATGGCCCTGCCTGAGCAAGGGTTTGGAGCAGATGACCTCCAGAGGTCCCTGACAACCTCAGTAATTCTGTGACTATAATGTCAAAAATGGTTCTCAGAAGACTTACCTTCTTGCTGTTGAGCATCTTTTGGGAACTACAATAATTATTAATATACATGAATGTAGTAAAAAATGTGTGTGACATCAAGGTAGGAATCAACAGAACTGAATGTTTATTAATTGAAGAGTGGCTTATTAGTTTTACTTATACTAAAAAGTCGTTGCATTTATAGGGACTATCCATGTGTAATATTTATTTTCACCAAGAAAAGTATGGCAGAATCTGGGCCTGGTAAGTGGGAGGCACTACAAATATTAGCATTTACAAAGATTTCTTTGGAAAGAAAAAAAAAAAAAAAAAGTTTCCAACAAAATTTTTGTTATCTTTGAAATTTTCAAATATTTCAAACTCAGGTTTAACCTCTATTAAATTGCTTCATTGTTAAGTAGAACAACTAATGGTAGTATTTCTTTGTTATTTCTACAGTATTCCACATTTCCTTGATATTAGCTCCTGGTTAATTGTAGTATTTTAATGAAGAAAAAAAAAAACCACACACACACACAAAAAAAAAAACCAAAACCCACAAAAAAACAAAAAAACCAAACCTCTTCATGCCACTTGTAATTTTATAACCATTAAAAATATTAGAAAATGAAAAATGAGATGTGTCAACTCTAAAGAAGGCAAAAACTACTATAGAATTGCAACAAATGAATTTGTTGCACTCAGGAAAAAAAAAAAAAAAAAGTCATTAGACATAATTGGAAAAGAGGAACAATACTAGTTACTGACACCATTAAGTTATGTACATACACTTGTCTTTATTATTAACTACCCACCTGCCATCTGTATTTATCTATATATTGTATCTTGTCATAATCTTAACTTATTGGTCTCTAGACACTACCACAGTATGAATAATAGATAATCATAAAGAGAAGGAAATCTTATGATGCATTATAAGTACATACTGTAGGAATGCCTAGAGGACCTAATCAGGATGAAGGTCTCCTTGAGTAAGAGACAGCTTCTACTGAGTAACACCAACACTCTGAATAGGAGAAGGGAGAGGCAGACAGAGAACAGATAAATGAAACACTGTGAATTCAAACTCACATAGCTGGCTAGAGGCAGAACAGGAACTACATTGCTGAGTTTTATCTGTTCAGCACTTCTGCCCTTCAGAACATACTGAGGACATCCTGAGAAAGGCTTGTTTCTATTCATGCTCTAAAACATATACTAAACAACTGAATATAATCTTAAGTACATACATTTCCTCTTGCGTAAATTTGTGGTGTGATGCCTCAAAATTGCACATAAACTCAAAAAGCAAATCAAAGGAATAATTTTTAATCTGACCTGTAATAACAAATATACTTTAAAATCTCAGTACACTGAAACGAAACAAAACAAAACAAAACAAAACAAAACATATACTTAGACTTGAGATTGCTTTTTACTACCTTTGAGCCCCTGGTCCAAACCCTAGAATGAATGAAACATCCATCTATTTGTTTATTTATTTATTTATTTATTTTATTTATTAATACATACACTGGTAAGCATATTTTACCTATTTTCCATCTATCTAAAAAAAAATAAAATAAAAAAAAAAAATAAAATCAGATGATCCAGAGTGAGAATATCCAGGGACAAGACTATGCTGATACCAGGAGGTGCCAGAGGAAAGGTTATTCCTCCAGGGTCATAAGGTGCTAGCCACTGAGAGATGATTTTGTATCATGGGGAAGTTTCCATGCCAGGTCAGGTAGTTAGAGTTTTGTTTCTCACAGTAATACACCAGCAGATGATTAGGAAAGAATAAAACAGGCCACATAAGAAATGTACCTTCTTTCCAGCAGAGCGGCAAACCAAAAAAATGCAAAGCAGCTATGTCTGAGATCACTGATCTCTCTGCATATCAGTATATCGCTGTTCCTTTATGTCATACATTTTAGACCACTTTCATTCCTCAGTAATTTGTGTCCTCTTTAGGGGACTCATGAGCTGTCCTGAACCTCTCTGGGCACACTGACCTGAGGCTTTAGTGTACAATTTTTGAAATATCTTGTTCTGCCTACCTGTGTTTTTATTTGTCTCTGGGCATTTAGAAAAACAACAGTTTCTGTAGGTGTCACTGAGAGGGTGACATTCTCTGGAAACAACAAAAAAAAGTTCTATGATGTGTTTAAATGACAATCCACAGATTTCCAGTATTAACCGACCTGCTGAGCCTACTGTCCTCTAGTTGAGCTTTAAGATGAGGTTTATAGTTTCGTTTGTTTTACATGGACATAAGAATCTAATAAATACCTACATGTTTTTCTGGGTGTTCTGGGACTAGCTACTCCTTTATGCTTTCTACGATGTGAAATTGTGACAGCAGTGAGCACTATACTTATAACTGAAAATTTAGTCATGATTTAAGTAGGTAGTGGTGACAAAATTGATACTATCCCTCCTTGTCTTTGAAGGGGCTTTTTCTAAGAGATGTCCTCATAGAAATAGATGGGCAGGGGCTTATGAAACGTAAGGGCCTTTTTAAATTATTGTCTTTGAAATCCCAAAATTCTATCACTTTCAATTTCATGCTCAAGTCTTCGGTGACCTCTGGGGCTACTAAATGTTTATATTCACTTTGTCTATTTTAACTTTTCATTGTTCACCTTAAGCATTGACACAGGACTGAAATAATAATTTCAGCTCGTTTTCATTTCTGTATTCTTGTGAAATATATTTGCATCAAGGTAAAGAAGACAGGGGACAATAAACCATTCCCAAAACATGAGCATAGGATGGATGTAATCTGATTGATACTCTATCTGAAAGACAGAACCGAACCGCATTCAGTCCTTACAAAAGATCAACAAAACCATCTTGTATGATCAGTTAGAAACATATGAAAAACCCGCAACAAGAAATCTACAATAGTTTTTGCTTGAACTTAAAAATAAATGGCTGCCAACTGGTTGTCATGTTTTATTTCATAAAAGCTCAAATCCTTTCAACCCTGAGAAATGTTCTGAAGTTTGATTTTTTTTTTAATATAAAGAACACATTTTATGTCCTGACCTATTCCTTGCTCCATAGAAGTATAGCCATAGGCAATTGACTTTTGAAGATTTTAGGAGATTTTTTTCCTTCCTATTTTATTTTTATTTTATACTTAATCTGTAAACTGATAAGACAGTGAGCTTTAAAGAAAGCCTAAAAAATGAGAATATATTTCACTTTTGTCCAGCCCAACATGAGGCTATTTATTTATTAATTATTTACTGTTACCTACCAGAGAATATAGAGGACTCCTTTCACTTTAATATGCTGCCAAATGTGCTTCTCCTTCCCATTTCTGCTTCCCTACAAGCACACAGTTAGGAACTTATCCTAAACATTGTACTGTAATAATCATGTAGCTTTAAAAATCCAGAGGCATTATTTTACTCTCTCTCTCTTTTTTTTTTTTTTTTTTTTCTACAGCAACTCATAACTCTAGCAATATAGTAGAAATATACAATTTGAATATAATGGTGCTTTGTACTTATATTTTCTCTGTTATCCACTGACATTTTTGAAATATTACAGGGGATCTTGATCACGGGAAGCTGTCGCTACTGTGAGATGATGCAGAGTTTTAGTCAAAAGATTATTTCAGTTGCTACATTACGTGATACGTGTGCTCATAGGTTTGTATGTCATGCATACATATATTTCAAATGTGCTAATTTTGATCCTAAAAGAGCTATGGAAATAAATTTAAATTATTTACATGTTATTTCTTTCTGTGTTTATAATTTATAGAAGGAGTACCTATACTTATTGAAGAATTTACTGGATGCTGTGATGGATAGTCTGACACTTTTTTAAGACCAAGACTTTTTTAAAGAGTAGTATGGATTTATTTGAGAGAAGAGGCTGGTTTTTGTTCTGTTGGGCTTTTTTTTCATCAGTAAGTTGTGTATTTTTTTTCCAATTGGTATATATTCAGAGAAGTCCTCTGTGCAGTGTGCTTCAGACATATGGTGCCAAAATAAATGATCAGAAT